GCTGAATGAATACCCCCTCTACATCTCTCTACCCCCAAAATTTGCACTGGAGTTCTGGGGGTTCTCCAGAGCAAATTTGGGGGTGGGCGGGTGGAGGGAGGTTCAGAGGGGGAAAAAAGAAGAGGAAATCCCAGATACACAAGATAGCTTGCTTACCTGATATAGAGGCAACTTATCAAAAACCTTCTCTGTCTGTGAAGCAGTTTCAGTGAGAATTTTATATGAAATTTCATTAGGCTCTGTAAAACCCACCTTCAAAATAACAGTCACATCAGCTACTTACAGGCATTAACAAAAGGCAATTAGCCGAAAAGTCATCTCAAAGAAGGGACATATGCTTCTTAATGTTTTTCATGTGTGAACAAATGTTTGGGAAATTGTCCAGATTTGAGCCAAGGGAGACATTTTTTTCTTACTATATAAGGAGTTAAGTCTGACTAAAGTAGGAGGCAATAGATTAAAAATATGCTTCTTGGTATCCTTGGGACGATAGCTTTGTCACTTTGATACTTCAGACACTGTCAAATTTCTGAGGGTTTGCCTATTGTGGAGATGGATTGGCAACATCAAACCTACATCTGTGCATATCTGGGATCCAGGTGTTTGAGCTTGTAGCTGCCAGTCAGTCAGTGGGCAATGTGTTGAAGAAAATATATGCAGATGTTATTCAGAAAAGTTATTCAATCACTTTGAATAAACCGTTATTGCTTACAGCAGGATAATTATTTGTTGGTTAAAGAGCGAGATTTCTGGCAACCCAATCTTTAGTTTGGCACTTCGACTAAAACCTATTTAGATATGTTTTCATAGGAATGTACATTATGTAAATTATTTAAAATTAATGACTGCATGTTTGCATGCATTCAGCTGAATGTGGAACTCACTAACAACCATGACTTTTTAATTTGATGTGAGGCAATATAAAGATTTTATTCATAAAGGGATATTTATATGTTGTGGACTGTTACAATGTTATGGTAGTCATGCGTATATAAACTATCCTTATGGACAAACACTTGATTAGACATATGAACACGATATTGCAGTTAGCAGCTATACAGACACATACACACACAGTATATATATATACTGTATACACACACACACACACACACACACACACAGTGTGTCTGTGTGTCTATATAAAGTGAATAACAGACGTGCTCTTTCCTGATCCAGGATAACATATGGAGAACTTCAATTGTTTACTCTCTATTGCCTCCTAAGTAGCTTTTGTGTCTTGTCCCTGATTCCCTCTATTTGTTTTGGAAATAATATTTTTACTGGCATAAATGAAAAAGCCCTTTGGTACAAAGAACTGGAGAGGTGTCATCAGAAGATTCCAGAGCCCACTTCCTTCCTAATTTGTTGTTGTTCAGTCGTTAAGTTGTGTCCGACTCTTCGTGACCCCATGAACCATATTGT